TCATATTAATATTTTAAACATTACTTAAAGGATCAACTAGTTTTGTTTCATATATTAATTATTACTAGAATCGATCGACGAATACGCTTGTTAATCGTTCGGTGTTTTCACGGTAGTAAACTTGGATTATCAATGCATGCGTCTCATGATTAATAATCTAAGGGGAGCTAATTATATTGATTAAACCAATAAACCGCTTGTGTTGAGGTTATCGATCTCAATCGTTTTCATCTTAAGTTTATTGCTACTATCGGGTTAATATACGGTGCGTGTTCTATATTTACTCGGTAGTAAGTTTTATTAATGAACGCGTCTCGTTATTAATAACTACCCTCGATGAAATGGAGATACTCCTCGATTGAGTATTCTAGAGGAAGATAGTTAAAGATATAACCGGAATCGACGAACATTTCATAAAGTGGATAAAAGCAAAACCAAGTCTTCATCACATTTAAGTAAAACACATAAGTCGTTCATCTTAGTGTTTAAATACATTTATGTTCAAGAACAATCATAAAACCCCCTTTGTCACTAGTTACATAAAAGAGAAATATTCATTTCCCTGTGGATACGAACCTTACTTCGTTATACTACGCATAATTGTTGTATTGAATATTTATTTTGAGTGCACACCACGACAAAGCGCACGTCAAATTTGGCGCCGTTGCCGGGGAAAAGCAATTACTTTTCTTTTTATTTCAGAAGCATCAAAAATAGAAAAATAAAAAAAATAATACAAATAAGTTGACTTTTCTTTTCTGAGTTTACATTAGTGTATATATACCAACATATCATCCCTAGAAAGTCAAGTTCCGTTTTAACTTCTCTAATAAAGGAGTTTATTTCGTGCTCGAAAGTTCAAGATGTCAAGGCCTGCAACATTTGTATGTCTCACAAGCATCTTAAGGACTTTTGTCCGAAACTCCAAAAAGAATACTTTGAGCAAATTGATGATGATTTCCAAAGGAAAGTACCTCACAAGAGGTATGATCCATTCTCCAACTCTAATGTCCACGTGGGACATGGTTCGGACTCTTACTAACAGCGTGACCACCATGCAACAAAACATGGTGCAATTCCAAAATGAGACCAAGTCTAGCATTTTAAACTTAAGATAATTACCTTAGGTATAACTAAAACTTAATCAGTTTCCCAATCTATGACTTAACTAGTTTTTTTCCTAAAATAATATTAATAATCATAATATTTAATTAAAATTCGGAATTAATAAAAAATAATTAATTTTTATGGACAAATATACCCTCTAATTTATATCTATAAAACCTTAACCTCCTGCCTATTTTCTTTAACCCTAGCCGCAACCTCCCACCGTCCACCCACGCAGCAGCCTCCCACTGTCCACCCGCGCAGCACCCCTGCCGTCCGACCGCCATCTAGCCACCGTCCAGCGCCACCTCCTTCCAAGTACTCCGACCCAGAGCACAGTCGCCAACCTAGAACTGCGGCATGGGGTAGGTGTCCGCCCGACCAGGGTGCGAAGGCGCCGTTCGAAGTAGATCTGCTGCCCGCCGTCCAGCCGCCGCTCGCCGTACAACCTCCGCCCAAATATCCGATCTGGGAGCAAAGCCACCGTCAAGATCTGGCAAACAAGGCGGGGCCAATGAGGCGTGCAGATCGTCCCAGAGCTTCCTCTACGCCATCCTCATCCCCTTCCCACTTGAGAGCACGAGATCTATCGGTCTTCAATTTAGAATCCCACCTTTAAGGGGAAAAAGCTAAAGTTTATTTTAAAACAAAGAGTGTCGATTTACACTCCTTCCCTTCCACCGGCCACTCTAGCATATACTAGCTAGCTTAGGAGGCTAGGTGCTGCTTTTCGTAATAGGGTGTAATATGGTTAGAAATGCTAATTTGGCATAATTATATCATACCGAGTATAGTCCATATTACTCCGTACAAAATTGGCTCAATCACTTTTCTTGTTTTCGGATCTCATTCAATATTTCATGTTTTCAATTACGAATTGAGTGACTTTGTTTCAAAAGTTGCTAAGATAAGATGGTTTGAAGAAAGTTTGTTAAATTTAGAGTTTGTGAGCATTAAATATGATCATTGAATATTAGCAGTGAAAATGGGCAGTGAAAATCAACGTAGATATTGTTGAATATGGCAGTGAATATGGAAATATATATGTTGTACATGGCAGTGATTGAATGCATTGAAAAAGTTTGTTGTGTAGTGATTAATACCGGTAGTGCAGTAGCAAAGAGCAGTAATTTCACCGTGAAACGCAATATACTTAATTAGACGTAAAATAATAAAATTATTAAATTTAAAAAAACAAAAAACTATAGATAATTTAGTAAAGTGAACGAGAAGAGAATTAATTTTGGCAGAAGTGCATTGATAATTACCGGGTTTGCAGTAATGCCGTGCAGTAATGTCGTGCAGTAACGACAATATAAAATGCAGTAATTTTAATTGGACAAAATTAGTGCAAATGCACATATTTAAAATAATGGCATTTTCTTCATTCAACTTTTAATTAAAAACGTCATTTTCCTTTTTTTTTTTGAAATTTCGGTCATATAAAAGTCCAAAAAATAGTTAGGTCATAGATTGGGAAACTTATCGAGTTTTAGTCATATCCTAGGAAATTTCCCTTTAAACTTGGAATCTCAAGTGAGTCAAATAGTCGGAGCCGTAAGTAGGCTTGAAGAAAACGATTTGGAAAAACTTTCCTCTCAAATAGAGACTCAAAACTTTCCTCCTAAACAACAAACATTTGCAATCACATTGAATGGGAAGGAATTGCAAAAGGAGACTCAAAATTCAGAAGAAGAATACAAAGACACGGAGCTCCAACTGGTCAAAGAAGAGGATGAGCCGAATTTCAATTACAAATTTCTATCCTTGTCATCCTTTGAGGTACCTCCACCATCCTTTGAGGTACCCCCACTATTTCTGAAAGTTCTGTGGGAAACTCGTAAAATTGAAAAATACAACGACATCTTTGAAATCTTCAACAAAAGTGAGAGATCAATACCTTTTCCATTGACCATGCTAAATGATAATTTTTTCCCCTCACTCTCACAACACGAAGCAATGGAAATCTGAATCTTTAATCCTGGAAAGATTTTCAAAGTGAAGGGTTGGAAAATTGAAGATTTCTATGAAAGTCCAACGGGTGAAAATGTGAAGAAGATGAATTATCATGATCCAAGCTTGAACGACTAAATTTAAAAAAGATGACGTCGTGCCACGACGTTAAATAAGGCGCTTCTTGGGAGGCAACCCAAGCAAAGGTACGTAATTTTCCATTCCTGTTTTTTTTTAATTTTGTTTTTGAGAGAATGAGAGGCATATCTTTAAGAAAGGAAGAGAGAAATTCAGGTTTTGTTTTCCATTCCTAATTGATTCTTAACTTCAAAAGTTTGTTATCTCCTTTAAAAATCTCTAAAGTATCTCAGGCATCATTTTGCCTTTTGTTTCCGTTTAACTTTTTCTCGGGTCCGGTTTTGTTTCAATTTTTTCAGGTTTATAAAGATTGTACCAGAATAGACGTTCGTGTTTTGGTTTGGTTTGGTTTGGTTTGATCAGGGGCGGCCCTGTATATTTGAAGGCCTAGGGGCGAATAATTTAAAATGGGTGTATTTTAAAAAAGTATAAAACTCGATTTCGTCTAAATTAACATGTAAAATAATAATACTTGAAAAAATTTATAATAAAGAAAATACTTGAATTCATTAAATTAAACATAATCAATTCACGTTTCCGAAATAACCAAATAAAAATTTATTTAAATACATTTCTTGCTGAACATTGTGAAGCAAAGTCATCAACTATAGCTTCATAATCAAGCTTTTCTAACACATTATGTTCAATGCTTAATATAGCTAATCCATTAAGCCTTTCTTGAGACATCGTTGATCGCAGATAATTTTTGAGAATCTTCAACTTTGATTTTTTTTTCTTTAGTGGCCACAGTTACCGGTACTGTCAATAATATCCTATAAGCAATTGTTGTGTTCGGATAACAACTCATAGTCTTCACAAACTCAAGAATTTGAAGGACAATGTCTTTGTCATCCGATAAAACCTTTTGCAACATTTCTCTATAAAACGCAACAGAAGAAGCATGTATATTTCTCTGTATCTTGCCAAAGGTGCGTACACGACTTTATATAAGGGAGTTCCGATATGTGTGAATCCGTTAACTCATAAAAGGACAAAGAATCCTAAAATAATACCACTACAATAATTAAGAAAGGATTTTTTAACATAATTCTTTACCTGCTACAATAAAAGAAATATGCCATAATTCTTTAACTGCTACCTAACTCCTTGAAGAGAGGAGTTTCCATAATTTAATTAGCGGCAAAAGAGCTTCCGTATTCTTGGGCATTTGGGTTTTTGGGCCGGACAAAAAGTAGTAGTTTAACTCTAAAAACTCACCCTACTCAAACCTAATATAAAGAAAAAATTATGGGCCTAAATTTTTTTCACTATTTTTGGGCCTATGTACCCTGCCCCCTGCCCCCACCCAGGGCCGTCTCTGGGTTTAGTTTGGGAGTGATTCGGCATTTGTGTGACGTACAGGTTGCTATGAATCATTGCATTATAAGCTCATGGAGCATGGAGCACAATAAGATTAGCCCTGTCACCATAATCTCACTCCTGAAACAACAAATACAATAATGATCTGAGGACAGTCTCTTGGAGCCAATGGCTGGGCTTCAACCGAATGACAGTTTACGTCTCTTCGGAAAAGCTCCTGGATTAACGGACCAATGAAGAGCTGTTTAAGCAACACCCCGTTCCCGTTAACTTTGATCTTATTCAGGAAAGGTTAATGACATTTTTCTAAATCATTTGCTGCCGTCTGTTTTAAAGAAACCAAACTGGTCACGTCATACCCCAATCACCAAAAGACTTTCGGAGATAAATTTGTGGAAAATGCTATGTGTATAGGCAGGTTTACCCGGCTGTGTACACATCTTAAAAAACCCACCCCTTTCTAAACCACCCCACTTTTGAATTAATCCTCCCCTTCTTCCCCTCTCACTCCCCTCTTTCCTCTCCCTCCCTATGCCCAAATTCCCTCTCCTTCTCTTCCTCTTTTCTTTTTTCTTTTCTCTCCCTCCCTGCACCCAACTTCCTTCTCCCTCTTTTCCTCTTTTCTTTTTTCTTTTCTCCCCCTCCCTCCACCCAACATTCTTCAGCCTCTTTTCCTCTTTCCTTCTCCCTCCTAAATAACTCCTCTCCCTTTCTCCATCTTTTTTCTTTTCTTGTTTTCTTCATTTCAAAAGCTCTCATTTTTTTTGCAGATCTGAATTCGTACAGAAAAACAAGAGGAGTCACAATTGAATCTACTTTGCTCTCTCAAATATTATTCATGAGGTAATACTTTATTTCATATTTTTGTGCATTTAGGGTTATATTTTTTCCTTTTTTAATTTTATTTATACAAAATATGTTGTGGTGATGTTGATGAATGTTTATTACAATACAATATTAGTATGGATTTGTTATAATTTAAAATTTTATTCAACCATCATAGCTCACTTTTATGCCTATTAAGTGTTTGTTGAAATGTTTCAATGAGATGTAACTATGTATAATTGATTTTTAGTTTTAATTCAGCTTATGGTTTTACTGAGATGTCTGTGTAGTTTGTTGTTATACAATTGTACGTAGCAGAGTTGTCTTTATGGTTTTCCAGAGATGTTTGTGTAGTGTGTTCTCATATGTTTGTACATTTTTTAGTTGTATATATAGTTTTCCTGAGATGTCTGTGTAGTTTGTTGTTATACGTTTGTGGATTTTATAGTTGTCTTTATGGTTTTCCTGAGATGTCTGTGTAGTGTGTTGTTATATGTTTGTGTATTTTTTAGTTGTCTGTGCATTTTACCTGAGACGTCTGTGTAGTTTGTTGTTATACGTTTGTCGATTTTATAGTTGTCTTTATGGTTTTCCAAAGATGTCTGTGTAGTGTGTTGTTATATGTTTATGCATTTTTTAGTTGTCTGTGCGTTTTACCTGAGACGTCTGTGTAGTTTGTTGTTATACGTTTGTGCTTTTTTGAAGTGTCTACACTGACAATATTTTTGAACGTTTTTTGCAAATATGTTGTAAAATATATGCAAATGAATGGAATTGGGTCTATTCTTGTGCACGTTCTTTAGGCTTATATAACTTTAAATATAGCTTTATTATGTTTTTTAGGCGGCACATATAAGCCTAAATGGATGCACATTCAGGTTTAATAGTTGTAATGATTTTTATTTTCTTGACAGGAACTATTTATGCTCTTTGCATGGTGGGGATAATGAACCTTCGAAACATGTGTTTACATGTTTGCATGAGAGCTTCAAAGCAAAGGATAATAAAGGATTTATGTTTGTAATTACTTATATTGTAAATTTAATGTTTTTACATTTGGAATGATATTGTATTTGGAGTGATTTTATTCTCAAAGATGTGTGTTTTTGTCTTGTGAAAAAGAAAACGACTTTCAATATTGGTGAAGTAAATTGTGTTTTTAAACAATGTTGAATTATGAAAGGTGAATTAGTAATCTTACTCTCATTATGGATGTAAATCATCCAAAATATATGTGTATTTGTAACCAAACACTACATATCATGTTCACAGACAACTTCACTTACCACATAAGCCCATTTCTATGGCTATTGTATGTGACTGACACATTTGTCTAGTTGACAGACAATTCTACTTAAAACATTAACCCATTCTAGTAACTATTGTTTGTGCCCAGACATGTAATATCATATTCTGCTAAACTCTTCATCTAATAGATAAAATGCATGAACAGACAATGTTTTAATCGCACACAGACGAAATATATGAATACACAGACAACAATTATTATCTATGTACAGACAACACAAACGAACAGACAATGTTTTAATCTTGCACGTACAATATAAACAATGACAGATGATATTTCAATTACACACAGACAAAATAAGGAAACACATAGACAATTGTATGTGTCCAACACAAAACATCCAAGTTCATTTTCATAACACAAAACATACATTGTAGACATTAGCAACTTCAATTACACTATCATTCTAAACACAAGAACATTAAATTTACAATATAGCTAGTTACAAGAATAAAATATTTAGTTATCATGTATTCAAAATCTTTCATTCTTGACTTCCTCAATCCTTTTTCTGCCATCATTCGGTTTATCAAACACATGTTTCGAAGGTTCATTATCCCCGCCATGCAAAGAGCATAAATAGTTCCTGTCAAGAAAATAAAAATCATTACAACTATTAAACCTGAATGTGCATCCATTTAGGCTTATATGTGCCGCCTAAAAACATAATAAAGCTATATTTAAAGTTATATAAGCCTAAAAAACGTGCACAAGAACAGACCCAATTCCATTCATTTGCAAACATTTTACCACATATTTGCAAAAACGTTCAAAAATATTGTCTGTGTAGACACTTCAAAAAACCACAAACGTATAACAACAAACTACACAGACATCTCAGGTAAAACGCACAGACAACTAAAAAATGCACAAACATATAACAACACACTACACGGACATCTCAGGAAAACCATAAACACAACTATAAAATCCACAAACGTATAACAACAAGCTACACAGACATCTCAGGAAAACTATATAGACAACTAAAAAATGTACAAACATATGAGAACACACTACACAAACATCTCTGGAAAACCATAAAGACAACTCTACTACGTACAACTGTATAACAACAAACTACACAGACATCTCAGTAAATCCATAAGCTGAATTAAAACTAAAAATCAATTATACATAGTTACATCTCATTGAAACATTTCAACAAACACTTAATAGGCATAAAAGTGAGCTATAATGGTTGAATATAATTTTAAATTATAACAGATCCATACTAATATTGTATTGTAATAAACATTCATCAACATCACCACAACATATTTTGTATAAATAAAATTAAAAAAAGGAAAAAATATAACCCTAAATGCACAAAAAATATGAAATAAAGTATTACCTCATGAATAATATTTGAGAGAGCAAAGTAGATTCAATTGTGACTCCTCTTGTTTTTCTGTACGAATTGAGATCTGCAAAAAAAGTGAGAGCTTTTGAAATGAAGAAAACAAGAAAAGAAAAAAGATGGAGAAAGGGAGAGGAGTTATTTACGAGGGAGAAGGAAAGAGGAAAAGAGGCTAAAGAATGTTGGGTGGAGGGAGGGGGAGAAAAGAAAAAAGAAAAGAGGAAAAAAGGGAGAAGGAAGTTGGGTGCAGGGAGGGAGAGAAAAGAAAAAAGAAAAGAGGAAGAGAAGGAGAGGGAATTTGGGCGCAAGGAGGGAGAGGAAAGAGGGGGGTGGAAGGGGAGGATTAATTCAAAAGTGGGGTGGGTTAGAAAGAGGGGATGTGGCTTTTTAAGATGTGTACACCGCCGTGTACACATAACATTTTCCGTTTAGGAAAATGCTTAAATATTGGGGAAAAGGTGCAAATAAGCCCTCGAACTAATCGAAAAAGTGCACTTTTATAGGATGGTCTGTCTGGCCGCGCCATTTGGGGCGGTTACTGGTGGAATTTTTTGATGAATTGTTTTGAGCATCTTGTTCATTAAGTCTAGTTTATCCATACAAAATTTCAGGTTAAAATTCAACCGGGAAGACAGTCAAATGATTTTCCTGAAATATATTACGCTGTTTAACTGCGCAGTTATCTTCAAACATTTATTTGACTGTCTTCACTATTGATTGTTTAGCTGAAATTTGGTATGAATAAACTAGACTTAATGCAGAAGATGCTCAAAAAATTTCATCAAAAAAATTCACCGAGAACCACCTCAAATGGCGATGGCCGGACAGAAACTCCTATAAAAGGGGTGATTTGCACTTTTTGGGTTAGTTCGAGGGCTTATTTGCCTCTTTTCCCTAAATATGCTAAATTATTAGATGAAGGTTGTATAATATACCCAACACTTTTCTTTCCTTATTTTCATCACTAGACACTTTTCATTCCTTTTTCGATCTTTTTTCTATCCTTCTAATCTTATTTCTTTTCCATTATTATTATTATATTTATTACTCTATTAGGAGATTTTATTTTGTAAAATTTCTATTCGAAATAGTTCTTTTTTGTCGTTTTCTTTTTCTTTCTGTATTTTATTTCATTTCCCTCTTTATGTTTCCTTCTTAATCATTCTCTTCTTATTAAAGATCTTTTTCTCACTTTACTTTTTATTATGTTTTTTTTTTATTTTCACTTTTCCACTTTTATATTTTCACTTCTAAAATAAGATCTTTAATAAGAAGAGAATAGTTAAGAAGAATAACATAAAAGGGAAATGAAATAAAAATACAAAAAGAAAAAGAAAATGACAAAAAAAAGCTATTTTGAAGAGAAATTTTACACACACAAAAAGAGCAATAGAATAATAAAAGTGAACACGAAATATGAACAAAATGATAGAAAAAGTAATAAAAATGGTCTAGGGATGAAAATATAGTATTGGGTACGAAAGAAAAATTTTAGGGAGAAAAAAGAAAAAATGAAACATGAGAGCGTTTTGAGCAGATTTGTGAAAGGTGGGATTATTTATATAAGGTTTTCAAAGAAAGGGTAAAAAACCTGGTATAACAGGTCATCAACAGGTCAGAGTCCAACGAAAGAAGATGTGGTGCAAAGGTGGAATTATTCTTGGTCCAAAAAAGGTGGAATCTCTCACCCCAGGAGCCCCCTTACCCCGACCCGACAGGATTTTTGGGAGGATGTTTATCACGGTGACTCAGTCGGTCCAATGATGGTAGGCCTTTTCCCGTGCGCACCAGAGGCCCAGCCATATTTAAGGTTCTGTGACCTCCACACGGCCGCTGCGAGTTTCGAACCTTGGTCACTTGGTCCAAATTTTCCACCACTGAACAAACTGAGCTACCCGTGCGGGTAAGGTGGGATTATTCTGAGATTACGTAAAGGTGAGATTATTATGAGAAGACCGGTGAAAGGTGAGATTATTCTTGTCAATATTTCCAATAAAAAATGTATAGTCGAACTTATTTTAATTTTTGTTCTAAATTCTTTGAAGTTAATACTTTGACCTAAATTTAAATTTTACTCGAACGTTTTGATTTAATATTTCATATTATTTCTTTTTATATTGAAGGTTGAGTCAAAGTTAGATGTACGGAAAACGGAACACCTAAGATGTTTGATTTTTTACAAAAAAAGTATGATTGAAAAATATTATATATATATATTTCTTTTTTCCTCATCTTTTTTTTTCCAAGTTTTTTTTATCCTTATATATATATATATATTTATAAGCATTATTTGCAACCTTTTTATTTTATCATTTATATATATATATTCATCTTTTTTATATTATCTTTTCATAATAGCTTATCTTTTTATCTTTATTCCTTCTTTATTCCGTCCAGTGACCAATGTCGGCCTTAGTGACCACCACCCAACTGACCCATAAGGCCTTCCAGCACCCTAGTGACTAGAAGTCACTGCATATCTACCCCGCCCTCATCATTTCCCTGACATCCCTAACTTGATCCACTGTATACACCCCTTCCTGCCATTATCAAGATGAGTATATCCTCAACAATTTATCAAACTAACTGGGATGCCAACAAAGTCATAGTGACCTCTTTCAAGACAAAATATCTTAAGCCACATCACCTCAACAAAAAGGTGTCATCTCTTTCAAAAGCCAAAGGAATGGCCGTACGTTGTTGGAGTTCAATTCAGCAGCTCCATTCTTACCCTCGCTACCCCCGCCCATACCCCATGCCACTACCCCGCCCGCAATCGATCGATGCCGCCCAAGCCACTGCAACCGGTTGTCGCCGTCGCAGTAGGAGAAGAGTCAGAGGTCGTCGAAGATATCACATTCAAAATCCGCTGGAGCGTGCATGTTGAATTTTGACCTGGGATGCCAATATAAATCATCAGATGAACTATGAGCTATGAATCATATGGAACCCCTATTTTCATTTTACAGCTTCCTGCATTTTTCTTCACTTTGCATTCCCCCCTTCCAAATTAAGTGTTAGACTGTTAGTGTCCTGCAGTTGTAGTCCCTTGTTTCAGTACTTTTGGGTTCTGTCCCTTTTGATATAGAGATCACACAGTCAGGTACAAAAAAAGTTAGCAGTAAAAGCACCAATTTTCCTTACCCCACTGTAGGTGGGAGCCTTTGCAGCACTGGGGTAATGATGATGATAAAACCACCAATTTCCCCTCGTACATCAGAGAGGGAGAGGGAGAGATGACCTGAGAGAAGAACGAAAGGTGTATTGCGCCATGGAGAAGTGGCCAGTTTGACTGATAGCCTGTACAGATTGTTTTCAAAAGACACCTCTGAACAGCGCAGAAAATCAACTGCATTATGTCAGACATCGAGATTAAAATAAACCATTACGTTTTTGACGAAATGGCTAGATAAGTACTTTGAACAGTATCTTTGGATCCAAGTGAGTAAATATTAGTATAACATGACATAAAATACATCAGAAAACGAAAATATGTGTTCAGCTTTACCTCCATGAAGTAGGTATCCTCAAATACACCTACAATATTGACAGTATTTACCTGATCACACAATATACTACAAATACTTCCTCACTATCAGAATTATTACTCATATCAGCTTGACAATAAAGCCTTCTTTCATGCAGCATTCTTGACACAATCAGCTTCCCAGAAATGTATGACTACGTTTTTCTAGAGACAGTGGTTCCAAAGACAAATATCAGTACATCAATGACAGAATTCGAAAAGCTTGATCCATAGGAATTAAATTTTAAAAGTACCATGAAACCCTGTTATACTTGCAGCCCCATTAAGTAGACATGTCGATCTGGAAACAGATTAGGAGACAATCTTGTCCCAATTAATGACACACATGCCGGCAGCAGGCCCATGGATGGCTTGAATTCAGTGTGGTGGACGACTAAGATCAAGTGAGGTTTGGGTAGTAAAAGTGAAATTTTGGATGTAGTGTCTTAATGAAAATATAGATGCATTGAGAAACAGAGAAAGTGGGAATAATAAGCATACCGAATTGAAATCCTCTCAAGTCACCAGTAATCTCCACAAGAACAATGCCCATTTTTGAAGTGATGAAACCTACTGGAATCACGAAGAACAATCTCTCGCCCTTTGATCTTGGAAATGTACTTGATTGCAAGGTGACAGTCATTGCACACTCGCAAGTTCTTCATCACCCTAATCCGCGCACCATTAGGGGTGTTCAAGAGAGCAAAAGCAATTGCCAACTTCTCACTGTGATGTAACAAGTTGTGCTCTTTTTCCTCCACATCCATGTCGTGCAAAACTGATGCCGTGTCTGGCACATACCCATTTAGCTTCAATTCAGCAGTTAGTTGATCCAGATAACTTTCAACCTCTTCGCACTGTGGATGAGATTTGCTGCCCATAATAAATTGATGAATCTGGTTCTTTAACTCAACCCAACTCACCCCTGGCTCTTTCTTCACCCCTCTCTCTTTCATTGCTTTCCAAACTTCTGAGACATGCTTCCACCTTCTAGCAGAGGCTTGGGTGTGAGAAAGAAGCACATAAGAAGCTGAATCTTGAGGATCAATCTTTAGGACTTCTGTAGCTATCTTTTCGGCCATATCTACATTCTTGTGGATTTTACAGGCTGATAGAAGAGTCTTCCATATGATAGCATCTGCCTTCACAGGCATAGATCTTATAAAAGCTTCAGCTTCATCCAAACGACCTGATCTTCCCAAAAGGTCAACCACACAGGTGTAATGTTCCAGCTGAGGTTCTAAATTATGCTTTTGCACCATCAAGTAGAAAATCTCAAGCCCTTTATCTTTCAGCCCACAGTGACTACATGCATAAAGTACACTCAAGAAAGTGACTTTATTTGCTTCCAGTCCTATTAATTCCATACTATCAAATATTTCTATCGCCTCTTGTCCTCTCCCGTGAAACCCATAAGCAGCTATAATTGCAGTCCACAAAACTGTATCTGCTTGCTTCCTCTCTTCAAACACCTTAATTGCGTCATCCAAACATCCACACCTTGAATACATACTGACCAATGAGCTGACAACAGCAACGACTGAAATGGCTCCGGATTTTATCACCTCAGTGTGAATTTGTTGCCCTTGTCCAAGAACAGCCAGCTTAGAACATGAGCTGATCACACTTACATATGTAATCTTGTCAGGTCTCAACCCTTCCATTTTCATCATGTTATAAAGATCCAGAGCACCTTCAGAACATTGGCTTTGTGCCTTACCGGCAATAAGAGTATTGCAAGCAACTAAATTCTGAAATGGCATCCCCTTAATCAATATCTCTCCTTCTTCAAGATTCCCGGATTTCATGTACATGTGAGCCAGTGCATTTGCAACAACCAGATCACCATCCAACCCTGACCTCAAAGCATAAGAGTGAACTTGTTTTCCCTTGCTCAAATCTCTTAATCCAGCACAAGCTCTCAAAACACTCCCAAGAGTAAATGCATCAGGTGAGAAACCAAGCAAGTGCATTTCAAAGAACAAGTTCCATGCCTTTTCATTGAACTCGAACTGGGCATACCCATTTATAACAGCATTCCAAGTTGCCACATTTCTATCAGGCATTTTGTCAAACAACTTCGTAGCAGCACTTAAATTTCCGTTCCATATGTACCCTCCCAGCAAAATATTAAAAGACAGGACATTTCTGTTGTGCACTCTATCAAATAAAAAATGCGCAACATCTAAACGACCCAATTTTGAGTAAACATTGATGAGGTGATTGGCCACAAATCGCTCTCTGAAACACCCGGATGTAAGGATGATAGAGTGAAGCTGTTTGGTGAGCGGGAGGGATTGGGTTCGGATGCATTCTTGGAGAGTATGAGCGAGCAGAGATGATCTGATTATTAACTTGGATTCCATGTAAAGTCCATTAATAACTATACGATTGGCAGGAATTAAAATTCTTAAAGTACAGTGGGACTGTGTTCACCGCAGACAGGGAGTATGCACACAGTTCAAAACTGGACCGGATTGGAACCGGATTTGACATGATATGGAAACCGAAAACCGGATCAGATGTATTCCGGTTTTATCCGGAACCAAACCGGTTTATCCGGTTCAAAACCGGAACCGAACTGGAAAAATCGGTTTCTAAATAAATTATTTTTTTCTTTACTAAAAAAGCTACTAATCATTTGATAAAGATGTAGTACTTATTACTAAAAAAATTACTTTTATTATTATTGTTTTCTAAACTCATTTTAATTAATTTTAGTGAGCATTTATTGGAGTAACTTGAGACTAGAATAATATATATTAGTTAGTTTTATTATTACGAGAATAAAAATGAATGGATAAATATAATATTAGGGTAATATATATTATAATCATTATGAAATTGATTGCTACGGAGTATTATATATTGTTACTAGTATGGAGTATTATTTTTTATTTTATAACAATTATTATATTAGTATTAGTAAATATACTTTAAAAAAATTGCAAAACCGGTCAAATCCGGTTCAAACCGGAATAATCCGGTTTTAAACTGGAACCGGACCGAAAACCGGTTTCCTAAATTTTCATAACCGAAAACCGGATCGAATATCATTCCGATTCGATCCGGTTCCAGTTTTTCCGGTCCGGTTTTCCGATTTAAACCGGATAGTGCACACCCCTAACCGCAAATGCCTTGTTAGTATATTTTGGAGGATGTGAAAAACTCAAAATTTCAGCTGTCTCCGTAAGAAAGTTGTGCTGAGGAGTAGTAATAAGAACTAAGAAGGGCAACTTGCATCGAAGTAGCAAGACAAAACATGTTTGTACAAATGGCATTTGTGACAACTGCGGTACTCATGATTGGTCTACATCAACATATCATTTTTAATTTAGATTTAAATAATTTAATTGTATCATTTTGATTGATCCATGTGGATAAAGGTATGGTACCGTAGGGGTACCATAGAATCTACCTTTTAATACATGGGCTACTCACTAACAAAAAAATTTGTCACCGACATGTAAAAAAAGATATTTTTTATAGCCCTATAGGATAATTGTACCTCATGCATATGCATCCTAGAGGAGACATTATGCTCAACATAAGGCCGAAATACGAAACGATGAAGTTATTTCTAATGTAATTTATGTAGTACGAAAAAATATATACCTTTTTCATTTGTATACTCCCTTTTCTTGAACACATAGACAATTCATTTTAAAATGTAAGAATTACTCTCAAAAAATGTAAGGATTACCTATCCATACAAATAAATGTATGAAGCGTGTATAAAATATGTGTATATCAAATAAAAACTCTGTAGCATTGACTCAAATTCAGTATGTTTTTGGATCTTCAAATACATCTTATTCCTCATACTGCACCTCAGCACCTATGACCTGTCAATATTAGACCTTATAAGTACCCTATGATACACATAAGAGTATAAGACTGCTATTGAAGAGATAGCCCAAGAAATCTTAGTCAATGATAATATCAGGGATGGTCAAAGCCTTTATTTCACACGGGTGGTAATGATAAAATAGAAAAACTGATACTGCCTCCGTCCCTATATAAAAGTATCCATTCATTTTACACACATCTTAAGAAAGTGGGTTTGGTTGGTACTGTTTGGACACTGTTTGACACTGTTTGGCACTGTTTTGCACTGTTTTGTTTGCCAAAAAAGGAAAGGGTACTTTTATTTAGGGACGACCCGAAAAAGAAACAGATGCTTTTATTTCGGGACGGAGGGAGTATTAAAGATTCTGTGCTGATTATAGAGAGCTGAATTAGCATATCAGGGTTGTCTTAAGACTATATGTAACCTTGTGCGGGTTACAAAAATTAGGCCTTGTGTAATAATAGTAATGATACAATATTTAAAAATAATTATCATATATTGATCATCATATATTGATATTGTATCTTCATAAAATAAAATATCATAATACGCTCTCCATCCCTTATAACTTTGTTATATTTGTTGAGTGTGTTTCGGAAAATAAAGAAAATTAATTAAAATAAATTAATTAAATAAAATGACTAGAGAAAAACAAGAAAGGAGATGAAGCAGAATTAGTCAAAGCTCGTGCTACGCACGATGTCCTTAAAACGTATTTGTTGCCTCCCACAGTGCTAGGAGCGTTGCAACAATCGTTTCCCAGGATACGATGACTACGAACCAGTGTTTGAGCACACAAACAAGAGTTCCAGCGAACGAGAACCAAGTAAGAACACAGAAGGAATTTGCAGAGTAGCTGTAGGTGTTTTTAGCTTAAGAAATTCGTGAGGAATGTATTGTTCGTTGTGTTGTTGCAAACCACCTGCCAGCTATTTATAGGAGGATTTGTTGTGTGTTAAATGGAGTGTTAATGGACATGAACGTTGGACATCAATGACCAGTCCGTTGGGCATTGAATCGTCCATAAACTGTCCATTTAACGCAGCATTAAAAGAGAAGAACGGTGGGCATTAACTTTCGTAACGGTAGAATTGCGCGACAGAAGACCCCAACAGAACACCCCCTTTGAGGGGTTCTGCCCGAAGCCAACAGAACACCCCTTCGAGGGGTTCTGTCCGAAGCCAACAGAACACCCCTTCGAGGGGTTCTGTCGAGGCCTTCTGTCCGGAGCACTTCTGAAAAAAAATAAACGTTTCGGGAAGAAAATAAAAATTAACCGTATCTCTTGAGAAATAGATTTTTGGACGGCATTCGTGTCCGCAGGTCGTCCGCGCACACGAATCGCGGTTTTTCTTCTCCGTTTCGGGATTTGATCGGCACCCCCCCTGCGCGTAAGAGAGAGCCTTTCCCTTTAGGAATCTTAACTCCTTAAAAGAGGCTTCCCTTTATAAGGGGGTGAAAATCTCTTGAATTTTCCGATGTGGGATAAAACACACTAGAAACTCATCATTTTCCCAGTTTTTCCATTTCAACGAGTGAACTTCGAGAATCAATTTCTCATTCACCCGTTATCCGTTTTGAGTGTACCATATATCGAATTGTAGCCCTTAACAAGGACAATGCGAAACCACTTTGACCCTACCCAAATCAGAAATTGATCCCACTCAAATAATTGCCCCAAAATGACCATTTAATGCAATTTTTAACACATTTTCCAACAATCCCCCACATGAATGAAAATTGATTTTCGAGACTTAAAAAGACACGAAGACAGGAGGACATATTGTGTTCACCGGATGATCCTTGCATACGGAGAGGTAGGTTATATCCTTTGAACCTTCCGTTGTAAAGACACGTTTATTTACTGGCTGTCTAGTAGACTCGATGTCCTTGAACTGTACTGCCGTCGTGTAAACATTGACTTATCTTTACACAAGAACCTTTCAACTTTGTTCCGTTCTCATGGGTGTGCTCGTTTTGGCCATGGGTCACCGTCCTGGTTCTGCAAGAGTTTCTAAAGAACTGAGCCTTTACTGTTCTCCTTTGAAGCGGCCCTCTTCTCTCTCACATAGGTGATTCTTTCACGAGTATCCCGCATACTCTTCCAATGTTATCGAGTAGATCAACATTTTAGAATCATTAAAGCAAACGTTTTTACTAACCTCGTGCGGGAGTCACTGTTTTAACGAGGAGTGGGTAGGAGTCCGGGACCCCCACAGTGACCATCCTTCACTCTATAATTTAGTTGTCCCTTTTGAACCTAGGACCAACTAGGTTGGGTATCCACTATAGAACTTTTCAATTCACGGGCTTTAGTCCCATTCCTCGTGACAACTTCTCCAACAATTCTCTATCCAATGCCTTGGTTAGCGGATCCGCTATGTTATCCTTTGACTTCACGTAGTCAACAGTGATAACACCCGTTGTGAGGAGTTGTTTAATGGTGTTATGTCTACGACGAACGTGTCTAGACTTACCATTGTACATATTGCTCCGTACCCTTCCAATTTCCGCTTGACAATCGCAATGTATGCATATTGGAGGGACAAGCTTTTCCCAACTTGGAATATCCTCAAGAAAATGGCGTAGCCATTCAGCCTCTTCAATGCACGTATCCAAAGCTATTAGTTCAGACTCCATCGTGGATCTATCTATTAACGTTTGTTTTGAGGATTTCCATGAAACGGCTGCACCTCCCAAAGTGAAAACATATCCACTTGTGAACTTAGAGTCCTTTATGTCGGATATCCAACTAGCGTCGCTATACCCTTCAAGTACAACTGGATATCTTCCATAGTGCAGTCCAAGATTTTGGGTTTTACGTAAATATCTCAAAACCCTTATTATTGCCTTCCAGTGTTCATCACCGGGGTTGCTAGTATATCTACTTAGCTTACTAACCACAAAGGCAATATCAGGCCTGGTACAACTCATTAGATACATCAAGCTTCCAATAATCCTAGCGTATTCTACTTGAGAAATACACTCTCCACGATTTTTGGTAAGTTGTACGTTATTATCTAATGGAGTCCTTGCCTCTTGATAATGATCCTTATTAAATTTCGTAAGGATTTTATCAACGTAATGGGATTGACTTAGCGTAAGACCGTCAGATCCTCTAATTATTTAATCCCAAGGATTAAATCGGCAAGCCCCATATCCTTCATGTCAAATTTAGAATTTAACATGTTTTTGGTAGAATTAATCATTAGATTATTGCTACCCACGATGAGTATATCATCCACGTATAAACATAAAATGACATAGTCGTCTACCGTGCTTTTCACATAGACGCATTTGTCACTTTCGTTTATTTTAAAATCATTAATTAACATTGCATGATCGAACTTTTCGTGCCACAGTTTAGGGGCTTGTTTCAATCCATACAATGATTTAATTAATTTACACACTTTCCTTTCTTGGCCTGAAACACGAAAGCCCTCGGGCTGTTCCATATAGATTTCTTCGTCTATATCGCCATTTAGAAAAGCGGTTTTTACGTCCATTTGATGAACTTCTAATTTCCGCAATGCGGCAATTGCTAGTATCATCCTAATGGAATTTATTCTCGTCACAGGAGAATACGTGTCAAAGTAATCATGGCCCTCACGTTGCTTGTATCCCTTGA